ACCTGAAAGGCTTCACCCGAATCTAGCAGCATGCTCTAGCACTGTTCGCTAACTGATTCTACATTCGAACACAACAAGACGTGACAAAGTTACTTGAGGCGGTCGAGAAGCTCTAAGGTCGACCTTTGACATTTTTCACCAGTGCAAACTCATCAACGCATCCCCCGCCACGTCTGGATATCATAGATTCGAGGCGTACGCCTCGGAATCGCAAGTGGGAAAATCAAGTCAAGCGTTGTTTTCAGGGAATTTGTAAATAAGAGCATCGCCCAATGTTTCCTAGGATTTTGGGTTGTATGAGGGCGTCATTGGCATCCCTGCATTGCGGGGATTCGAAAGCCGTGGCGACGTTGTTGTTGAAATGGGTCAATTTAATTTAATGAGCAGAGCTCGCTGGAAGAAATTGTCTCATCTAGGTAAGCCGTGGCGACGTGGAGGGTTGGGGTTTTGGGGAAGGTTTTATTGCACGTTTTGTGTGGGGTTGGGAGGGGTAAATGGAGTTAGACGACGTTCTATTTTACAACCCATCGAAATACGACGTTCTACTTGAATTCCTTCCTCTTTTTCGATCGCAAGTACTGTAGCAATGTCGGGCATCAATCAACTGGGTGCTGAAATAACAAAATAAAATGAGGCCAAAACGTACGCTAACGTTGCCTTCATAATGGGTGTATTGCACCTGTGGAAAGTCGAAACGATCTTTTCACAAACGGGCAGAATATGCCAACCAAGGCAATACGGTACCCGCTGCACCTCACCCGAGGTCCTGGCAGTAATGAGGGCATGACGCCTTTTGCCCCCTGATAATGCTCGTCACCGTTAAATGCATAAAACAATATGCTGAAGCAAAAGCGTGATCGTGTGGATAAAGTTTACCACTTGTAAGCAATAAAAAGCCCGAGGAGAAAGCCAGGCATGGACGGCGCATCGGGTAGCTTCAAGTGAAGGACGTGTGTCTCGGGATTGAACCACGAATGGACTTTGTCCCAGTTGATGACAACGAGGCTGTCGTTCGCGCACCAGAAGTCGTTGAACTTGCGGTAGAGCTCCGACTGGCGAAGCTTGGAGAACAACGCACCCCATTGCACAGTGACGACGTCTTGGCTGTATACCGTGCGCAGTAAAACACATGTGAGACCGAGCGGCACGAGCCACGCGCAGAGCGTGCGAAGTGCGAAGCCAAGTATGTAGCCGACAAGGGCGGACCTGGCGAAGCCGTGCTTGTGTTTCTTGCGGTTGCAGTGACATCCATCGTGTGGACGGTCGTCGTTGTGACTGGTGGTCTTCGCACGATCCGAGTTGGATGGTGTTGTGCCGGGAGGCGAGGCAGTGCACATCGTGTAGTGTAAATGCGGTGGTTCGAATTGGTAAATGACGGCAACCCAGGCGACAAGAAGAGTGCATGTCGGAATGACAATCAATCTTCGTCCATCACTCCAAAAAGATCGACTTGCCAATCAAAATACGTGGCGTGCCTGCTTCCAAAAGTGACACCATAAACGGAAGCATACTCACGAATGTCACTAAAAGTTAAAAGAGTTGTTGAATGTCTAACACACTTGAAGTGGCTTTCTTTCTCTACCAAAGTTCAGTGTCCGTTGCGTTCTCGTTTGACGTAGGATAGCGCTCGAGCGCGTATTACAAGCATTTACATTGAATTGGACGTGTTGGTCATTTTACACACAAAAGTATACATGGTAATATGCAGTGGCTACGCAATCCATTTTCGGTGGCTTTGTGCACGTAGCAGCGATCACGCGAACTCCCTGGACGGGCTGTTGCACGTGTAGGACTTCAGGAGCACCTTTTCCCAGCCGACGACTCCAATGATACAATCGTTGCGGGCCAGGTCGTCGATGATTTGCCGGCACGGCGGCTTGACGAGGGCACGAAAGTTCTCCTTGAACGTGTCCGAGTAGTCGAAGACGCCGCCGAGGCATTCGTTGTAGTAGACGCACAGCATCATTTGCACTTGGTTGTTGACGTCGCTCGGGTCCTTGTAGAACTTGGACGCGAGAGCCGTCGCGTCGGCCATCCAGTTCGCTTGCTTCGCGAGGCACTGTTTCGGGTCCTTCACCACGCCATACGCGGATGCTTGCGACGGGTAGCCTGCGGACTCTTCAGCAAGCAAGAGACTGGTCGCCCGGAAGCGGTAGCACTGGGTGTTCAT